TGGTTGTTAGATTGGGGTAAATAAAGAGGAGTACTAATGACGATTTTGTCAAATTTCCGGAATTTTTATGTGTTACTGCTAAAGACATGCTTTTGATGTTATTTTGGAGTTTTCCTTAACTACGAAGTACTCGTATTAAACACTTTTTGGGTTTTCAAACTATTTCATACACAAGTAACTTTATTTTAGACAAATTATTTACAACTACTCGTAGTATATCTTCTTATAACTTCAAATAAATAAGTCGAATATAACATAACTTTGCGACTATATATGTAAGAGCAATGTCAATGGTGGGCTAAAAATATGCTCATGGGCATATTTGTAAGCAAGAAGGGAAAAATAAGGCTTGTAATGGTGGGCAAAGGGTAAGTTGCCCATGAGCATCTCATAAAATGCCCCAGACTTGGGCATATTTGCAAGTGAACAGTGATGTTGTGGGGCCCACCAATTGCTTGGAGAAATAAAAAAATTTTGGTGGCTGGTTCAACAAAACGCACCGTTTAATGGTGCATGCAAGAAGATGGGCAGTTAAAACGCAGCGTTTTGACCTGCGAATTTTGAAAAAAAAAAAAAAAAAAAAATGACTGACGCGCGTCAGTCAGTGAACGAATCGTGGAGCGCCACGTGGCTTGGGCATGCTGCTGGCCAATAAGAAAAATAGAGCTGTTGGCAACGGTTATAATTTTTGTAATACAAATTCTGAAATAAATATTTATTTAAAAAAAAAAAAAATTACCAATGGTCATAAAATTTAATTCTCTATAAATAGACATGCATTTTGGTATATTTTGGTATAATTTCAGAATTACCATAAATCCTCCATATTCTTTATTTTTCTAAATAAATAGAAATTGTAGAAGAAGTTTTTTTGTTGTATTTCACCGATTTTCAAGTAAATATGATTTTTTTTTGTTTTTTTTTTATAAATTCAGTTATTTATTGAAATTAGTATATATGTGATTTTTTTGCAAATTAAAAAATGTAGTTCATGTAATGTACTTGCAATTTTATATATAATTGTATTTAGAAAGTTGTTGATATGTTGTTCATACATTAATAAATTTAAAGTTAATTTAATATGAATTTATTTGCCAATTTTTTGGAAATTGGGTTGTTGTTTTGTACATGTGAAGTAATTTGTTATGCTAAATTATATTTTATATGTTATTTTGTATAGGTAGTTAATTTCTGTTACATTACATTATGTATTATATGTTATTACGAAGAGATCAACAAGAATTAACACCAGCATCAACGAACGTCTACAACGCCACCATTTGAATTCAACGTAGGTCGACCTACCAACTTTGACTTTAACTCATTTCTACAACGAAAAGCTTCCCTCCGTGATAGAGAAATTCATCTATCTCTGAAAAGTGATTTAGTCGAACATATTTGGTTACAATACGGGCCAACTAATTAGGGAAAAATTAGTACGACTTAAATAAGGCCAAGTACTATGGCCTACCTACTTTTCCGTACGCAGTCGGGTTTTTTTTAATTATTTTATTTATTTTATTCCCTAAGTTTAATTACGCATGACGTTTCAAATGTAATCAGTTTCTAGTACTGTACCGCTTTTTAAAATAAATAAAAACATTTACGAAATTTTGATCGTTTTGTTACCATTATTTCATCTAACGTACATAATTTAACGACAAATTTTACCGATAAAAACGACACAAATAAAAAAAATAAGTTACACATATTTAGACTAGTTTTGGACTTTTGGAGTAATATTGTTAAAGTATAAATGAAATTAAATAAAGAAGTGTTGTGTATGAGAGAGAAAGTAATAGTGGGGTATTGAAAAAGTAAGAGAGAGAGTGGTGGACAAGCATTATTTTTGCTCACCATTGGGAGAGAAATTGTGAAAAAAAATTATCCATGGGCAAAACTGATTTGTTGAGAGAGAAAGTGGATAGAGAGATAGTGGGCAAGCATTTTTTTTGCCCACCATTGGGAGTGGTCTAAATGCTATTAGCATGCTTGTCCTCTAACATTGATTTTAGCTTTGCTAACAAAGGCAGTTGATAAACACAAATTACCACTGGTTTAGCTTACTTGCCGGCAATTAAGCTACATAAATAACATTAGTTAAAACCAGTTGTTATCCAAACATAGATCTTTTTTGCTGGTTTTCCAACATTTCATCTCGAATCCTTGAAATATTTACCTTCATTTACTCCAAAAAATGATTTTCCTCCCTCTATTGTTTTTTTTTTCTTTTTTCTTCTCTTTTCCTATTATTTTTTTTTCAAATTTCTCCCACCCATTATACCTTAATCTTCAACTAATACATGTAAATATTTATAGAATAATATCATAATAAGAATAAAAAGGGGAAGAAAATGAGTCTCAATTGTTGCCATGTTCTTCATAGAACGGACTCCGATCAAGACCTTAGCAAGAGACTTATTAGCCATGATGATAAATCTAGTACTCCTAAGAACATTTCAAGTCTATTTAGTCACAAAATTTTGGCTGAGAGGAGTTGGTCAGGAAAACTTATGGCATCCCCTCGCGAAAAAAAGGTTAAATCGATGGTTGGTGGTGCAACTCCTAAGAAGTTCAAGGCTCATCATCGTAGGTATGGAAGCACCGGAGCTTTGTCATACGGAGGTGAGGGCGACGATCTCACAAACGAGCCAAAGTTAGTGAGGAGTGGTGGATTAAGAAGGGATTGGAGCCTTGAGGATTTGGAAGCCGAGCTAAGAGATGGCAAGAGATCAAAGCAGAGAAGGATGAATAGATTCTCCTTTAACAACAAATATTAATTAACCCTATTTTGCATGGTGATAACTAAAAAGCTAATAATAATGTATTTATACAATTTTGTGCTATTTGGTTGAAGTTATCTCAAGGGTGAATGGGTGGGCTGGAGGTAAAATCGATGGATGAGGAAACTAGGAAAGGAGGTATTGTTTTGTCTATCGTTCTAATTTTATTAGATGTCTCTCAACTAGACATAATTTCATGTACAAAGTAAAACTATTACGCACTAGTTTTGTTCCATTATTATATCCTCCATCTTATATATTGAAATTTTTTTGGTATAAAGATAAAAATGTTAAACTTGTAAATTCTAATTTATTCTGCACTTAATTGATACCCATTTCTGAACTTTATCACGTATATTGCATGAGTTATTGAATAAAAGAATCCATGCTCATGCTGCAATAATAAAGCATCTAAATTTCTCAAAGATGCCGAGAGATAGAAAAAGGTGACGAATTTATCAATGGATGCTAGGATAGGAAGTCCATATCAAATACAATAGCTGCATAGTAAACATAAATAGAACAAAGAAACTTTCGGCCTGAAGACTATTAGAGGAAAGCAGCACGCAGCACGTTCGACCCTGACCCATCCCTCCTCCCACAAGCGGCAGTTGCAGGACAGTAGGACACCCTGGTCCTCCCCTTCTCGGTTGTTGGCAAGTCAATACAGCTCTCTTTTCCGGGCTATATTGTAACTATTTTTCATTTTAGGGACTCCAGATGTCTGCCGGATTAAGGAAGGCTTGCAATATTAATAGATCAAGACAGAACCAGGAAAACCAAGGTTATTCTGCCGATTAGAGCAGCTAATAAGTCAAGCTGTTCATAATGAGCTAAAGCACTTTCTAATTGTGCAGCGTTGCATGATAGAAAGTAATCATCAAAACCCCAAGATTGCAGACACCCTCACCAAGGGAGTGGCTTTAATGACTTACTAAAGATCAGTTCTTAGAATGTTTTAAGCCTGGTTGTTTTGATAGTCTTCTTCACAACCCAACAAACTACTACACCCTAGGCGCTGGACACTCACAATACATCCCAGCTGGTAGTCAGAGAAGTGAGCAACTCACCAAAGCTCTTGACCTGGTTTCCATCTATAACAGAAGTTGATGCCGGAAACTATAGTTGCAATGAGGCGCGCCCAATTGGTCAGAACTAAGAAGCTGTATACACCTAAATTGTGGACCATGCAAAATTTATAGGCCTGCAATTTAATACTGTAGACTAACAAAAGTTTGTTCGGTTTGGTGGCTGTTCAAGATGGAAAAAAAAAAATATTCTACTGTCTTACTGAATTGTTCCTACTGAAGGACAACTACACTGAAGTGCAGCAACCGTACATGCCTTATGTTGCAACAACAGTACAAAGTTAGCTGCACGGGAGAGTTTATATTTCCAGTTTGACAAATATTAATCATGGCTCACGAGGACCACTCAAACCACACCAGCCCTGACATCTTTTATGTCTTTTGGAAACATGAAGTTTGGAAATCTGTATACACAGAAGTGCACTATCTCTAAAGCTAGAAATGGTGAATGAGGTGTGATGTTGCAAGTTTGAGAACCAATGAAGGTCCTGAATGCCAATATGAGAGCTATGTTATGCAATATGCTGTTTTGCAATGGCTATAACATATGTATTTTTAACCATTGAATAGCCAAAACTGGCTGGTTTCATAGACTTGAACTAACGAAAATGTATATAATTTCCAGGATTCATTCCTTGAAAAAATGTACATATTCCACATTACATACTAAAGCATCAATTTTATGTCAATTGCCTTCAATAAACAAGATGTGTATGATATGTTCATCACAAATTTTCAGGCTACCCCTAAGATAAAGATTTTCATCATGTATAAGAATGCTAAAAGAATCTCTGTTTACAATGAATTTTAGCAAAGAACTATAGAAAGATGCTAGGAGCACTAATGCTCAGGTACAAGAAATACGAGCAGCATACAAACAGCTTGTTACTAAGTTGATTATGCAAGATAGTTTGGCATATATCATATCTAAAAATCAAAAGACTTCTTTTTTGGCATTCTAAAGGCTGTCCAGTTCAAATAATTAGTTTTTCTGATCACCCATTGACTGACCTGATTTGTAGAGAGCCAATTCCATTCAGAAATTACCAAGCAGCTGAACAAATTGGATAATTACTGCAATGAATCTGCATTAAAATACTAAGTAGAGATGAAACAACGAAAACAAATGTGAAAATTAAAACAATATTATTGCCATCTCAGTGCACCTGAAACACAAGGGTTACTTTTTGGCTTTTTGCAAGGAGGATCTACCTATTTCTTATTTCTTGCCTCTGCTTTCCAATCTCTTCTTCCGGGTCTACTTCTATTAAGATAGCTTTCTGAAGAATCTTCGCTTTTTAGAGCTTGTTCTGATTCCCGCATTCCCAAAGGAGCATGTGGCATGTTATTTTCAGTGGCTAAAGACTGACCATTGGGAAGAAGTCCATTGAATATGGCTTCTGGTATGGCAACATGGACTCTCCTTGCGTCCTTTTTCCAATCTCGTCTGCAATGAACACGGGTTACAACTTGTTCCACATTCCCATTCCTGTCATGCCCATTTGCATCTGGCAGCGATACAATTTGCATCTGGGATGACTGGTCAGTGACATGCCCATTCCTGGCATTTCCTTGGAGACGTTTTCGTTCCCTGTATCTACGCTGTCGTTCTCTGTTCTTCAGCCGACGATTCATGACATCATTTAGGGTTTTGCTACTATTATTAACATCAGAAATCTCCATTGTGTCACTACTATCCCGTATTTAGTAGGGTTCCCTTGCGTCTGCCTCCCACGGCTCAGAATTTCTATATGTGAAACATGCAGAGACTGATAACAAGGTTACTACTTATCCACAGCTCCATTGTCTTATGATTGTGTTGTGTTTAGATGAAGCATCCTTTGTCTGCTTCTAAACTCAGTTTCTCTGTATGTAAAACTTGTTGAGACTGATTACAGGGCAACCATTCAGACGTGAAATCAAAAATTAGTGAAGTAGTGAACTGTTTCACTCTTCTATGGTTTTGTAGTAGACATCAATGTTATCAAGGCATCCTAACTTTCTCAACCATCAACTACGCAAACTGGGGCAATATCTTGTTACAGGTCCCAACCCTTAGAATATACAGTTTCACGTCAAACAAAGGCAATATCTACATACTAGCCTGACAAGTGGAAAACATTCAAGAATACTGTATGTCAAACAAAAAGAAGTTTAAGTTTCCGGCTTGGAGACGTGTGCAAGGAAAACTCTTAATGTTGCTCAGACTTGACAAAGGAAAAATCCAGTATACATTATTTAGATCAAAACTCTTAAGCACCAAAAATAGCCATAATTCATTCCACATTCCTGGTCAATACATTCACACCCACAGGCCACAGCCACATGAGATAGTGACTAGATAGGGGAAAAACACATTAAAAAAAAAGTCAATTTCAAAGTAAGGGGAAAAAACACAAAAAAAGTCACTTCAAAGTAAAGGAAGCACTATGAAAATAGAATGGTAAAGAGTCTCATGCTAAGATTGCTAACAGTAAACAGAAAGTTCTTTTCATGTTAGTAGGTCCAACAGGCTTTCCATAATAGTACTTAGTCCAGCAGGCTTTAATATCAGATTGGAATCACTCTTATATTTTTATACTTACTGATACTGATATTTATCTTTCTTTGCATGACCAATCGATCAAATTTTATGGTTGAGGCAAGAATGCTAATAAATAATACAGAAACACAAAACTCACAAAGGCTAGGCTAGGAATCTTGCAACTAATCATAGATTCCCTAAAATGCGCTCCATCTGCTTAGCTTGCATCAGAGTAAATAAAGACATAACAAAGACCAAAGCAACTCAGAAACAGAGTTGTGCAGTTTCCCAAGCAATCAGTCCAAAGAAAACAAAATGGAGAATCCAAAAATGAAATACTTCTAAATGGAAATTTTATGTTAAGACTTTACGACAAGAATTTCAGATAGCCAAGTATCATTATCCAGAGTTTCCTTTTTCTCAAATTAGGGGTGAAAGATGTGAACAAGATGTGAGTAGTCCGTTCTTTCCTTTTATCACCCCCCCCCCCCGACACACACACAGTCACACACCATGTAACACTATCCAGGATGCCAGAATCATCAAGGATACCTACATTAGTACATCATCACAAGGCAGGTCTTGTAAATTATATAGCAATTGTGATCATAGGTTCTGCCCACAACCTCTAAATTTAGAAGTCTGAAAATAAAGTTTAATAGCTTCTGACTCTCAGTTATCTGACAACAAAATGTTACCCAGTCTTGCCGATACCTCAAACTTAAGAGTTAAGAGATCCAAAGCTTGGAAAAAGATGAGGAATGAATAAAATAGATCCCTTCATAGAACTGTCTGGGCATAATCTCAATTTCAGTTGAAAATTAACAAGTAGAAGGATGCCATAATAAATTATCCATAATCATCTACAAAATTTGATGGATGATGCTGGCCAATGGAGATTACACACTGCCTCATTGACTTAAGATGGAATTCAAATTCCATTTACTTTCCTCATCTTTGAATATTCTAAGTTCCATCTTGGCTAGTCCAATCCATAAATTCAAGGGTTCAGATGTTCTTTCATACGCTACAAAGATACAAATTCAGATGAATCGCAAGAAAGGAATTGGTCAAGGTCTCAAGGATGTGTGAACTGGAAAAAGTTCATCTTACGTTTGAAAGGTCCCAACCCAGCCAGGTCCCCAAAATCCAATTTGTTTTCTGGTTAGCTTCCTAAAAATTGAACAGTAAATAAATTTACTCTTGCTAGGGAATGTCTCCCCTAGGGCTCCTCAACTTTTTTTCCTATGTCCCTGACTCCCAGAGCTTAGGGGCTATGAGATAAAGATGATTGATAGAAACATCATACTTCTGAGACCCTTTTATATCTGTTTCCTTTAGCTCAGACTTATGAATAATTTATCCTCTAAAGCCATTTAGAATAACTTGCCTCACCTCCGGAGTAATATTCCTCTGAATATGGAAGGTTATGACCAGATCTTTCAAGGTTATACAGTCCCCTTTGACAGATGGGCCAGTCCAATTAGTTAACACAGGACAATGGGAGTTTCATTCCACCTCAAATAGACCTTAGTCCTCCACTAAAACCACTCATCCCAGCTTCTCAATGAAATCCCTCCTTAATGGACTGCTGGTAAGCATTTGGACACTGCTTAAATCTCCAGGGAGTTCAGGTTTTTGACTAAAAAAGAGGGATCAGGATCATCCTCACTTCTAATTTGCCCCCTATTACCCATCACCTTCTCTTATACGGAATCCTTGGTACATGAAAGGGCCCTATTTTCATGAGAGAGAGGAGGGTGATGGCTGATGGGTTTTTTAATTATGCCATTCACCTAAAATTTTCATTGCTTCATGATTTTGCTCTATCTCTTAAACCTCTCTGTTTTTCCTTCTTCAAGATCAAATAGCAACTTTAGAGATGGGAGTCCAATATAAAAAATCTGAATTTGCGATAAAAGTATTTTGTGCAAAAAAGCAGTTTGTATGTAAAACAAAAGATTCTATACTCAAGGCTTTAAGCAAAAGAGGGACATAAGCCACGAAATTGATTTTAGTCAAACTAAACCGACTGAACGAAAACACAAGAACTTCAGAAAAAAAAAAAAAAAAAAAGCATCTAATGTGGGAGGAAATGGCAACATAGTCTGTGCGTATAGCAACTTTGGTCAGTCAGGTGACGGAACAAACACTTTGCAGCAGTTCAGATAAGGTTGATTCATGTCTGTAATCGACAATTATATCCTTTTGCAGCCTCTAGGTATGTTTATGGTTAGAAGACTTACAACTTCGAACACAAAAACAAATTCTTCAATTACATAAATGATGGTGTATAAGTGGCAATACCCTTATAGTAGAGTGGAAATTTGAAACAAATGTCAATTAGGGTCAAAATCTTGCTCTTAGGGACAACACTATATGTCTATACTCTTTCGCATTTGTTTTCTAATGACTCACAAAGATTGGATAAAGAATCTACTACAAACCACTGTGTAGAATATAAGTATCTCACAATCGCACTAATGAACCTTTTCAAAGCACAAAACCAATAGCCCAATACGATATCTAGAAATTGATTTGTTAGGTGATTTGAATCCACTATCCAGTATCCACCACAAAACTGTCCTCCATTAATCTAGAATTATCAAACAACTCCATTTACAAATGAATCATTGTTTTCCTTTCCTACTTTGGTCCCATTACATGTATAATTATCCAAAACTTGTCAAATTTGATTGCATTTATCAATACCATCCTGAGACTCTCCCACATAATTTATTTTTCTGATTTCATAAATCAGTGCACAATCCAAACCAACCATCAAAAGACACAAAGCTACTATGCCTCTGAGATCGACAAAACAATACCTAGTAAAGGTACCAAATACAGATAATCTAATCAACAATAACCACACTGCACAATACTAAAAAGTTGCTAAATTAGCTATTACTCTTCATAAACACTTCATAATAAACACAAACCATCAATTTTTCTTTTCAACTCACCTTCCAAATCCATTTTCCAAATGCAAAATAGCCAACCAGCTTTCCCTTGTAAAAGGGTTTCTGGGCAAGGCATCACAAAACCCAAAAAGAACTATATAATCTACCAAAAATAATCAAACAAAAAATAAATGAAATAAAAAAGGCAGCTTTCTCATACTAAGATATGAATTAAATAATGGGTGAATCAAATTTAACTATGGAAAATCTAGAATCACTGGATTTCAAATGAACAATAAGGAAAACGTGTCAAATTACAAGAAGTAATTAAGGAAATGATCAATAATTAATTCGAACCCATTAATGAAAAATTACATATCAAAAGATAAGTCAATTACAAAAAAAAAAAAAGTAAAGATTGGTATACATACCAGTTGCAGGTCACAGGAATGTAGACTGATTGACAGGAAAGATTTGGAGTAGTTGTAAGGTTTTAGCGACTGGTTCCTAGATTGGTGTTGCAGAATGCAGCCTTCTTACAAAAAAAAGAGAAACTGAGAAAGTGTTTTTTGTATGACCAACTTTGAGTTTAGATATTTAACCCGTTTTTTATCACCCCATTAATCCGAAAAGATTCAAACTATTAACTTCTTTTGTTGTTTTTATCTTTTGATTGATTAATAAATTTCTCACTTTAATCAGAATATTTTTTAATTCAGAATTTTGTCCATCTTTAATTATTAATAAATATAAACTATAAAAAGTTTATATTTAAAAATTATTCATTAAGACAATTCTAACAATTACGGAGTACTAACATGAGTATGTTTAATTTTACATATAAAACACTAACACTAGTCAAAGTCATGTAAGTGATACTGAATACTATAAAAGGGGACATTTATAATGAAGCATAGGGAGTATAATTTATTTTTTTGTAAAAAAAATAAAAATAAAATAAAAATAAAAAAAAAACAGCATATTTGGATTCCATGCAACTAATTTTTTTTCTATTATTTGGACTTTTGATAAACCATTTTTATCATCAAAAGCAAATTAATTTTGTATTTCATCTTTGTCCGTTTTTTATTTTTTATTTTCCCACTAACCACTTCATATAAAATGAAGAGGTAAGTGAAAAATGAGTTTTTTTTTTTATTTACATTTTAGGTAGTAGAGAGAAATTTATTTAGAAACATTGGTATTACCGTATTATTATATCTATCTATACTTATATACTAAAATAATCCCTATAGTTATCTCCTAAGTACACATATCATCACCTCATAAAAAAAATTCCGCCAAAAAAATTTGTTACTTTTTTTTTTTTTTTTTTGTTATTGAAAGAAGTTTGTTACTACATCTTAGGGAGAAATTTTGGCCTTATATTTAAATAAAATTAAAAAATATAGTGGTAGAGAATAATAAATATTACGTAAAATTATAAAATACTACAAAGTATTTAGGATATTATTAAAAAGTATTATTATTATTTCTTTTTTTTTTGTTATCAACAAGAGTAGCATGAATAGTGAGTACTTTTTAATTAAGATTTGAGTATGCTTTCATATTATGAATACTAAAATATTATTAATCCTTCCATCTCATATTAATTGTATTGTAATTTAGACATTGAGATTAATCTTATGGTACATCACAATATTTATTGTACTTTTTTTTTTAATGATTTTTTACTTCTAATGATTCGTTTTGTACAGTTTCTAATAACCAAATAGCATATTATTATTAAATTGTGCATAGCACGGGTTTTGAACTAGTAGTTTTATATAGATTATTTGGTGGGATAAAAAGTGGAATTTTTATTACCATAAAAAAGAATAAATTAAAAGTACTAGCAAATTTTTAAAAAAAAAAAATTCAAAAAGAAAAGTATAAAGTGAACACTAAAAAAGAATTGAGAGAGTAATTTGAGCAAAATCCAAAAAACACTTCACTTGTCAAATACATTTGACTGATTCATTATTCAACCGTTTCACTCTCCTTTCTTTACACATGCAAATTGGATATTTGGATTACATCAAATTTCAAAGAACAATGTTTGTTTGTTGAACTTTGACTCCTTCCTCAAGTACTCTTCCTCGTTAAATAAGCATATGTGTTCAATTTTTATATTATTTTTTGTTATATAATATATGTATTTAGTGGATGTCCATTATACCATTATGATTATTCTAGGATATTTTTGATATACTAGGCTTATTATTTTACAAGGAAACCCTAATTGTATCACATGTATATATATATGTACTCCCCCAACATTCAGTAAGAGGAATATAGATTTATTCTCTTCTCTACTTTCTCTTTCTCTGTAATTTCATAACACGTTATCAGCACCAAACTCTACCTCTAGCTAGGAATCGTCTTTTAGGTCAGTGATTCACCATGACGCAGCAAGTTTGATCTACGCAGCATTGAGATAAATATTTATCGTTTTATTTGCTTATCCAGTAACAATCTGAGACGATTATTAATTTCAAATATTTGATTCTTGATATGTTGATTTTAGCATTTTTTTTATTTGGAGCCAATTTATGTTGTTAAAATTGGTGATGTAATTTATTTGTGGTTGTCACGTAGCTATAATGAGTTTTGGAAAGTTAGGTTTAGTTTTTTTTTCGGACTCTTCCGATACTCGCCAATTCTAATTGATAGATTGTTGGTGGTTTTTTTTTTCATGGGCCTTTATTTCTTTGGGTTATTCAAGAGCACATGTATTTTGATTTCTTTAATTTGATGCATTGTATGATTTGTTATACAAGGGGATTGTGATAGAGGTTTTGTTGTTTAGACTTCTAATACTCTAAATTATTTTATGCTTATTTCGGCTAGTTATGTTTACTCGTTTATGGATATGTGAATTAATTTCTAACATATTAGAGAGTACTTTTATAACTCGTTTGGCAAGTTTTGTTCGTTGAGTTCATGATTCTGCTTTTGAAGTCATTAAAGTTTCCATGCTTTGAATTGGAAACGAGAATAATTAGTCCACCCTTTTAGTATTAGTACTCCAATGTTCATGTTGTGGTAATTTTATCTAGCTCCTTTAATATTCCATCCAGGCATGAAGATGTTTATTTTGTTTGTTTATTATGTTTCCACGATAATTCGTCAACAATTTGCTATTAACTTGATATTATATACTGCTGCATCTATTACTTCAATTTTATGTGATTGTGTTTCTTGTGATGAGCAATATTAAAATAAATTAATAAATATTATTATGTCTTGCTTCGAATAAGAACAATTATGATCCAAGTATTCTTTTGCATCCCATATGATATATATATATATATATATATATATATATATATATATATATATATATATATATATAGTACTACTCTCTACCAAGGGGGACTTTATATGCTTTGGTCTAATTATATTTTAATCTTGAAACTTTATATTCTAGTTTTGTTTTGAGTAGTGGTAGCTATATTCACTTTGTGATTTATCTACTATGTAGCTTTTTATAAATCCTAGAAGGTGAACTACAATAATATGATATCTAATTAATATAGGATACAAGTATACCTTATGTCTCCCTCTTATACCTTATTTTCCCCAATCCGCCATTAAGGTAATTGTTTGCTTATCGATGCTAATTTGGATTACAATATTTTATCACATTGATAATATAAATGTTTATTTGATGATTATCGTTATCCCAACATAGGTTACATATTAGATATTGGAGCTTTTTTTTTTTTGCATTAGGTTTTGTTTCTAATTAGCCGCCAGTATTATAATTAACCTTCTCGTTTGGACCGATATATTTGGAGTGACTAATACTTGTTATTTAAATGCTATTGTCATAACTTGTTTGATGCCCATACATTCATTTGGTTTGATTTAATAAATGAGATGAGAGTCTATACATATGAGCACGACTAATATTTGTTACATATGAGCAAGACTATTATTATAAGTTTATTCTCTCCTTAACGCCATGAGAAAGAATATATAAAAGGCTAAACTTTGAATAGTATTCTAGACGACACCGAATCCTGGGTGGATTTGAGTTGAGAAATCATAAATTACTAGATTTACTCACTCCCTGAAGTAAATGAGAAATTGGGATTGAAAGGATAACAAACATATTTGCATAATGTATTCTTAATTATGATTCATTAAATAAGAATTTCAAAAACATGATGTGCGGACCTAAAGTTCCCTAAATTTATAAAGAGTATTCACACACATAGACTTAAAGTTTCTTGAACTTATAAAGCCCAAAACCCTTAACACTACAAGAAAAAGGCCAGATTCCGACGGAAACAAAATTCCGTAGGAAATCCTATATATTCCGGCGGATTTATATTCCGTCAAAAATTTCCTACGGAATAAACATCCGTCGGAATATATGGACATTCCGACGGAATATTCCGTCGGAAAATTTGTATTTTGACGGAAATAAAATCTGTCAAAAGGTTCTGACAGAATATTCCGTCGAAATATTAAATTTCCGACGGGTAATATTATCCGTCGGAAATTTCCGACGAAATATTCCGTCGGAAAATAATTAAATAATAAAAAAAACAGCGCCCTTTAAATTTAAAAAAAAACCCTAAAAAACCTATTCTCTCTCCTCTCCTCTCCCCGCCTCCCTTCTCTTTCTCTCTCCTCTCTTCTTTCCTCTTCCCCTGTTTCTCCTTCCTTTCCAGCCTTCTCCTTGTTCTCCTTCCTCGGCGCAACTCCTCCTCCTCTTCCCCTCTTTCTCCTTCCTCTCCTCTTCGTTGTTTCTCTTTCCTCTTCCCCTCTTTATTTTCTTTTTCGTTTCAACAACAACTTCTAAATCGATCTCTTCTACAACAACAACAACAACCAACGGCCGGCCACACGTCACCGTCAATCAACATCGCCGGCAGCCGCATGTACTAGCCAAAACAACTTAGGTTTGAGTGTAGATCTTAGGTTTTTGTAGATTTTTGAATTTTGTATGTAATTGTAATTGTGTAATTATATAATTTTTTTGATTTTCGTTGTTTAATTTTCGATGTTTTGATTTTTAGTATTTTTTTAATTAAATTGTGGTGATATAAATTTGTTTATTTGGATTTTTTTTCGGATGTTTAATTTTTGAATTTCGTTTGGATTTTTGTTTGGATTTTTTTTCGTTATTCGGATATTTGGATGAATTTGTTTTTTTGGATTTTTTTGGGTTATTCAGTTTTTTTTGCGTTTTTTGTGGGTGGTGGTGGGTTGGGGGGTGGCGGGTAGTCAGGGGCAGGGGGTGGTGGGCTGGTGATGGTGTGGGTGGGTAAGGGGGTAGTCAGGGGGTAAGGGGCAGGGGGCAGGGCAGGGGTAGTGGGCTGGGCTGGTGGTGGTTGGGGGGGTGGCTTTTTATTTTATTTATTTTTATTCAATTTTCCGACGGAAATTTCCGTCGGAATATTCCCCTTCCGACGGAATATTCCGTCGGAATCCACTTCAGCTCCGACGGAAAATTCCGTCGGAACTTTGCGACAGACTTTTGGTTAAAGTCAAAACCAGCTTCGACATAATGTATTCCGTCGGAAATTCCGTTGAAAAAGTTGCTTCCGACGGAATTTCCCTCGGAAAACGTCGAATTTCCGGCAAGGGTTGTTCTGAGAGACAGTCGGAAGGCCGTTTTCCGACGGATTTTATCCTGTTTCCGACGGAAAAAGTCCTCGGAATTGAGCTGTTTTCTTGTAGTGTAAGAATAATACAAAAGTTTAGAAAAGTTGACATAATGTCTTTTAATTTGATAGTTATTTTAGATACCACACTTTGGGTGAGTATTAATGATTTGTAGATTACTAGATTCTTGATTAAGATGATACATACATGTTTTCGTGATGAATATAATTCACGCTGAATTATACGATTTGCAAATTAAACATGATTGCTTAATATTTATTTGAGCGAGAGATAGATGACATTGTGGGAAACTTACTTGTAAAAATATATTTATTATGCCCATACTTATAGAAATTATATAATTGGGCAAGAGTTACAAGTAAGAGTTTATATGAATAATTTTATTATGCTTGATACATGCATTGCTAAAAGAATTTATGCCTTAAAGGTGAAAGAGATTTAAAGGTTGTTGGATTCGTTACATGCCCCACATGCAAGGATTATGGGGAGATTGTATTTATTTCATTATTTTATATAATCCTTGCACATAAATAACAAAATATAGTGATGGTCAGTTTGGTACATACATTAACTTAAATATTAACGTTTTATTTAATAGAAGTGGCCACATGTTAATTAAATATTTTAAAATGATACCATCTTGAGGATATAAATAAATGTCTGATCATATATATAGTTGTAAATGCTCCAATTAAAATTAATGTTCCAAAAGGACAACATCAATTACTGATAAACCTATAGCAAGCTTGAAGCATGATAGATCAATAAGTTTTAGAGATAATTAAGTATCTTCGAAAATAAAAGGAGTCACTATTGACAATAACAAATTTAAGGAAGTGATAAACTCCATTACATTTCTAGAAGAAATATTTTTTAGTAAAATTCTTATGTTCCATGATTATATAAAAGACTCTAGAAGAGTATGAAGTATCTAACAAGATTAACATATATCAGCAAGTTATAGTCAAAACTCCAGCAGAGTATGAGTAATTATTGGATAAAATATTAGTTGATTGTCTTGCCAATTGTATAAAGAAACACATGTTGGTATTCTAATATCACATCATATTCATCATATTTAAATTGTGATTTAATAGTTTGTTTTGAAGAAATTTCAAGAGATTATATGCTAGTTTTGAACAATTTTGCATGTGAACAAGCTAAGTAATAATAAGTGGCCAGAAGCTCACTAAAACAAGTTGTGTATGTAGAGAGATTTTGAGTAACTAGATGCTCATTATCAAAATATTTGAAGAATTAGGAGATCTTCATACAGTGGCTTTATAATTTACTTGCAAGTGGTTAATCTCTTGATTGGGACTATTTTATGTCAACACATAAGAAATAGAATAAGGAAAAACGTACAACTGCACAACACATGTCTCCCCATTGACATTGATCTCCAGAAGAAAACATATTATGGAAATTGTAAAAATAATTACACATGCAATGTAAAGTTAATTAAGAAATGATTTTTCATTGAAATTCTTCTCTAGAAGAGATTAATGTTGTTTAATACAAATCTTCTGAGTAATAAATTTTGATTGTGATCCTCGCAATGAAATGAATTTTAATGCAAATTTATATACTAAGTTGGTATAGAATTAGACGCCCCTATAAATGAGATATTTTACCAACTTAGGGGGAGAAGAATCAGCAAAAGTTGGAAAATCGAAAATAATTTGATGACCCCTATAATGGTAGTTTGAAAAGTTATATGCCAACTTTTGTCTATATATTATCAAGATATGTTGCACATTTATGATTTGATTTGTATTCAGTTATGACTCATGTTGCATAGCGTTGAAGATACATTTTGGTCATATTATGTGTATACATTGAGATAAAATCTTGGCAATTATACTTGAATCACTACACATGTTGTATGATCGGTTCCAAAATAAAGATATGATATGTGGCAAGATAGTGCAGTTAACACTTTTAATATTGTAATAGTATATATATACCATAGTGTATGAAATACCCCAAAAGTGGTATAGATATCTAAATGATTACTATAAATGGCCTATGATGTAAGAAAAGTTATGATGGTACCAATGAGAAACGTATTCAGATATCATTGTCAAAATAGCATGCAAATTAAAAATTGTACCTTGAGGAATTATATGATTATACCGGTATATGATGGAACCGATAAATAATGCATATGCATGACAGAATGGACTAGTGAATAAAGGATCTGAAATATATGTCCATTTTTTATGTCGGCATGAAACTAAGATAATAAATCAAAAATTTATTATGAACTAGTAGTCCAATTAGAAAATGGATTTCTTAAATCCACACTGTACAGTGTTTGCATTTATGAGTCTTTTATTTATGTGCATGTTTGAGTTTTAAATTTATGAATTACTCGTTGTATGTATAGGATGTAGTTTGATGCATTACTCATTACATATATATGTTGTTTAATATGTTATCATGAATTCTACATCTCATATTACATGCATTAGTTCTATACAACAATTGAGTTATATGTGAATGTTTATGGTATGACGAGTTTATAATAATGATGAAGACTTACAAGAAGAAATTTATACTCCGATGGGCTTATAATTGTGATGAAAGTTTATATGACGACAATCCAATAGCATGTTATGAATCATGCATGAAAAGTTCCCGCAGTACTTATATACAACGTATTCAAATATCTAGCCCTTCAAATCTATATTCTGAAAAATGACAATGTTGATATTGTTATCAAATTCATGGAGAGTATTCGTGATTAAGTTATGAAATATCAACCTGAAGTTTAACCAAGTGAGAGTTAATCGATTTTTATATGCATTGGATAACTCCCGTATAAAATGCAAAATGTCTAAAGAAGAATAGTAATGAACTATATTGTAGTAAGGATAATCTTCTTATGGTCCAGAAGAACCATGAGTAAAGTATATAATAATACTTATGTTATATTAAAACTAATTCATACAAGCTTAGATAATGATATCAAGGTATCACGGGTTGCCATAAATTATTATCAATAGCTACTTTTACGACCTCCAGAAGTAGGCATAATTTTGATGGTAAGGCAACTTGAAACAAAAATGTCATATAAGATAGTGGTAAACGCAACATAGGTATTGTTCTCATAAGTATGGATAAATGAAGATGCTTTACAGCGAAGATTCAAGTTTAGTCAGGGAAGATCAACTATCAAGGAATGTTATTCAGCTACAAGTTTGAAGTTACTAAGGCATTGGATTCATTACATTGGAAGATCTCAAGTTATTGGGGAGAAAATACGCGCTGCACTCTTTTTCCCTTGACCATGGTTTTGTCCCACATTGGGTTTTCATGGTAAGGTTTTTAACGAGACAGCATGTCAAGGCGTATTATGAAAGTGTTGTACTCTTTTTCCTTCACTAGAGTTTTATCCCATCGGGTTTTTCCTAGTAAGGTTTTAACGAGGCACACTATTCGATAATGGTCATCCAATGGGGAGTGTTATATAATATATGTATGTAGTGGATGTCCATTATACCCTTATGATTATTCTAGGATATTCTAGATATATTAGGCTTATTATTCTACAAGAAAACCCTAACCGTATCACATGTGTGTGTGTGTGTATATATATATGTACTTCCCCATCATTCAGTAAGAAGAACATAGATCTATTCTCTCCTCAACTTTCTCTTTCTCTGTAATTTCATAACAATTTTTTTTTATCTTTTTTTTTTTATTTTTTTTACAGTATGTTATGGCGAAAATCAAAAAAATGCACTAGTAAATCTTGTTGTCAATTTTTAAATTAAAGATGAATATTACTCCGTAACACAAATGGTTATATTCAAATTATAACTTACTCTCTATAATTCAAAAATAGATAATGACATAAAACATGTGATCAAGTCCTAATTTAGTTGTGACCACATGAAATTCATTTCCTAAGAAGTACTCCGTACTAAATTTAGTTGCTTTATTATGATAACTATACGGAGTAATTCTCAAATTCCCATAAAAAAGTTGTTACTTCCTCTATTATATATTATATGGGAATAAAACTTTATTGGAAATGAAAATTCTTATATTTTGGTCAATCAAACAACTCTACCGTTCACAACTTCACATTATGAATAACATTTTAAAACCTTTTATTTTTTATTATACCATATAAATAATTTGTATGTATCAACTAAACAAGCACTTAAATTGTATTGATCCGTATATTGTATTAATCCGTAATTCATCATTATTCCATATAGTGGGACCAAATGACCCGCAACCTTCGGTTTTTGAAAGCTTGCCCACATTCCCAACTCGACTACTCAAATAATTCCCCCCTGGATTTTTATAATTTCCTACAAATAATTTCCTAATTTTGTTGTATAATTTATTCCCAGAAAATCACTTTCATTTCGTTATTGACCCACTTCCCTGCTTCTCTCTCCTCCTACTAGATACGTTACCCTCAATTCAACTTTCCTGTTTTTTGCAAAATACAAAAAAAATTATGTTCTAGGGTTTTCCAATTTTCGCTATTCAATTTCGATCTTCCGTCAAATTCCCAATTCTCGTGTGAACGCTAGTGTTTTGACGAAGATTTTGGAAGGAGAAAAAAAGTGTATTCTTCAATAGGAAAGCATTTTAGTCGCCGTATACTTCAATTTCAAGCCACAGTTATTTGTAGTAATCCCCAATTTAATAGTCTAAAAGCTGGAATTTTGTGGGGTTGGTGCTTCTGGGTTTGATTGGCTTTGCATTTTGGTGGGGTAAAGTTAATTGCTTGTTTACTCTTTGTTTTTACAGTGACCCATTTTCAGGGTTTTGTTTCAGAAGAGATCTGGTGCTGTAAATTCATGTGATTGCAGGAAAAGGGTATGATTTCTGGCTTTCTGTAATTCAGTTTTTAGCCTGTTTTTATTGGTTATATGCTTGGAGTTTTTGTGGGATTATTGGGATTAGGACTCAATTTTGGGGGATTGTGGAACAGTTGACTATGTGTGAACAGTAGTGAAAGAATTAGTTTGAGTTTCATATTGTTGTGGCTGAATTTGGTTAAAGAGTTTGTGGATGGATAATTACTTGGGTGTGAACAAGATTGGGAAGAACATTAGGAAGAGTCCGTTGCACCAACCTAATTTTGTTAATAGTGGTACTAATAATAATGGTAATAACAACAACACAGCAAGGCAGCAACCACAACCCCAGGTGTATAACATTAGCAAGAGTGATTTCAGGAGTATAGTTCAGCAGTTGACAGGGTCACCTTCACGGCAAGATCCTTTGCCAAGGCCGCCTAATAACCCCCCTAAGCACCCGAGTATGAGGCTTCAGCGCATTAGACCTCCACCATTGAATCCTATTAATCGCCCTCCAATGCCGCCAGTGGTGGCAGCTCCAGCTCCTATGCAAATGCAACCCCCGCCTCAAGGTCATCATATGGCGCCACCTCAAGTTCCTTTCAACAATCGACCACCACCTCAATTTGGTCAGCGCTCCCCTAGAGGGATGCAGCCATTTGCTCCAGGTGATGCAGCTTGGGGAAATCCAGCACTCTCTCCTATATCAGCCTATATGCAGCAGTTACAAAGTTGTATCGGTGATGGTGGTTCTAGGCCGAATCAGTTCCATCAGCAACCGCAGATGCCAGGACAATATCAAACTCAACCTCAGATGCAGCCACAAGCTCCAGGGCATATCCAAAGTCATCCTCAGATGCATCCACAACACGGTCCTGGGCATTTTCAAGCTCAAGTACAACACCCTATGCCTCAACTAGTTCCTGGGCATGTTCAGGCACATCAACCACCATCTCCCGGTTTGCTTCCTAACCCGAACATGCCACCAGGCCCATCATTGCCTTCACCGGGAACAAATGGTCCTGCCCTTTTGCCATCACCAACTTCCCAGTTCTTGTTGCCTTCACCCAATGGTTTCTTTAACATGTCTCCAACACCAAGGTCTCCGCATCCTCTCCTTTCACCTGGTAGTCAGTTTCCACCGCCATTGAGTCCAAACTTTGCATTTTCACCATTTGGTCAATCTGGGATTTTGGGTCCAGGCCCTCAGCCACCCCTTTCTCCAGGATATGCATTTCCTTTATCACCTTCTGGACTTTTTCCCATGTCAAGCCCAAGATGGAGGGATCCTAGCTTTTAGAAATTGTGAATGACTTGTTAGATGGCTGCGGCATGATTGTTTAGGATGCAGGCACATATCCTTCATTGTAGGATTCATTGTATGTTGTGCATTGAAATGATTTGTACAATCTGATCTTAGTTGTTCAGTGGAACTTATAGCTTTTCCGTGGCCCTTTGTCCATACTGATTATTGTGAACATGAGAGAGGTGGATATCAGCTGTTAGTTGTTGGTTCTCTGGCAAAAAAGCCCTCTTCTTGTTGCTCTGGTATGATCACACAAATCTCAAGAGGAAGATGCAAGTAAACCACCAAAACAAGCTGGCATTACAACCTCTCAAGAGTATACTATGTAAGCAAACTAGTCAACAGCTTAGCATACCTTTATTGTTTTTTAATTTTATTTTTTGGTCTCTTTTGTTAGGTAACTTGTTTTTCGTATTAATATCATGTAGAACAATAAGCAATTTCAGCTCTTTGCCAGTTGCTTAGGCATAATGGTGTCTATTGCTTCTGTAAAGCTAATTTAGTGCTTATAGAATCTAATATACATGTTTTTTTGGGGGTCCAATTGTGATGATTTGTTTGAAATTGGCAACATGCTATCTGATTCCTCTGTTTCCCCTTGTTGGGTAGGTTGATCATCTATGATACTTATATAGTTATATGTTCCTTTTGCATTTGCATAATTCATGTTCCTTTACATATTATTTCTCAGAATTGAGAGCGGTGAGCATGCTGGTCAATAAATTTGCTGTGTTTAAAGCTCCATAGATTAGAAAAGTTTCCATTTTGTCTCTGGTTTTGAAAAACTAGTCTCTGTCGTTTTCAAGAGCTTGTTATGGTATCTTGAAGTCGGTATACTAATTACCTTTCCTGCAATAATTAATACTTTTGGATAAGCAGCTAAGTGGCCTTCATTGAACAATTTCTTGGTGCCGAGTATGTCTGCTTTTAAGTGCAAAGATCAATGTAATTCTTTTTGCAGAGCTTTGGAGTCATTATTTAAGAAAACTACAGGCATGAAAAGGTCAGTGGCTTGTAGAGACTAGAGAAGTATGCTACAAAATTAGTTGATAGAATTGATAGTTGGGAGTATTGTGAGTTATGTTGGGTACATGGTATGTCAATACATCATTGCCTAGGTATCAATCGACACATTTTTGTTAATGCAATTAATGACAATCTTGTGTTGTTGGAGATCTGGGGTAACTTACTTTCGTCAATGGTGGCTATGCAAGGCTTGATAATGATTAGTTTTGTGAAGTATATAATTAGTAATTTGAGGCTGCAGAGATCAAAAGAAGCTTATGGATGACTGTTATTATGAGATATTCTACTTATCATCATTAGGCAGTGATAAGTAGATGTATACTAGAATTGATGGGAAAGCTGTAACCCTGTAGAATAAGGATAAGGATAAGAATAGAATACAAGTATTCTGTTAACTACAGTATATGTTGGTTATATGTCTATAACCTAGGTTGCACAGAAACGGATACGGATACAAAAACGGGTACGGATATGGGGACGGGATACGGCAAAATCAAATTTTCCAAAAACGGGTACGGCATGGATATGCCAAAAAAAAATCAGCAAAATATTAAATCTATAAAAACTTTTTTTTAAAAATAATCTAAAAATTCACAACATAACAACATTAATGATTAAAATCACAAGAGGAAAAAAAAAAAAAAAAAAAAAAGTAAAAACCTACTGATAGTAGGAATCGAAATATGAAGAAAAACCCACATAATCACACCTATGATTGGAAAAAAAAAAAAAAAATAATCTTAAATGAATGCAGAAAAAAAAGATCGAACAAATCAGAACAAAAGAAACCGAGAGTGATAGAAAGAAGCAGAGGACTGCAGCTGGTGTTTGCCTGGACGGAGGTGGTGGTAACTTGGTCGGAGATGGTGGTCGGGCAACAGGCCTACAACAGCAGGTTGCCGATCTACTCCATCGTCTGTGTATTTTAAGATTTAGAGTATCCAAATCGCAAAGGTAAGTAATTAAAGAGGTTTTTTTTTTGGGTTGGGCTTCAATTTGTACTAGGGGACGTCCAAAAAGTACCAAAGCCGTCCCCGAAACGTCCCCAAGTCGCCTGAAAGCCGTACCCAAAAAGGCTCCCCGTACCACTTTTCAAGGGTACGCCATGGGGACGTGTCCCAGGCATACCCGTACCCGGTTTCGTCCCCGATACGGAAACGGCATAGAGGAGTCGTACCCGTGCATCCTTGTCTATAACATTATAAAGCAAGGGAATTTTAGGTTATTTTTCCATGTCAAGGCCTTGTCAGGAGAATTAAAGTGAAGCAGTTTTCAGACCTTATCATTAAGGATTCTTGGGACTGAAGTCATGTTTATATTAATTTGATTTCATTGGAAATACAACAATGGAACCTGTAACGCTGTAAGTGGGCAAAATAATGTATTATGTGTATGGACTATGGAGATGAGACACATCAGAGAGTCTCTTTGGAAGAGGCAACATCAAGGAAACTTAAACACAATGACTTAGTATTGCAATGAACAAGAGATGATATTCTAATAGAACAGGGGATAGAGCAAGATGTTACATTAAATTTATTGTCTGTGATTTGATTTTGAGAGATAAAGGATATATTTGGAACCCTCTACTGACCTAATCTGACTGACTCAGGCCTATGATATTGAACTAATGGTTCAAAAAGTTGTCAGGAAGAAAGAGTTGGGTGATGTTCAATTGAGAATTAAAGCATCAGAGAGCATGTGGAGTGAATTGAAACTGTAACTTGAATTAGCATAATGCCATTTTTTGTTTTGGTTTACTGCTTTGAACTTTGAGGTTAATGCTAAGAATTGGTTCTAAAGTATTTTAGATTAGTTACATATTTGACTTAAGTACTTTACCATTTTTTCTGGAGCTCTCATTAATTAATTTAGCCCTTGAATCATTACATTGGTACACCTTGTCAGTGGATACTTCCTGTCATGTTTCAGTTTGAGTTTTCAAATTGTCAATAATCTATGCATTTGATGCACTGGTCATGCAAAAGGTATATTATGAAAAGTCAACAAGGACAAACATTAGGAAATGTATGGAGTATGATGCTTGTCGTTAGAGACTATTATTTTGGTCCTGCAAGTTAGGCATCTTACCTTGTATTCCCATTAAATTGTTGTACCCAAGATTTTCCAATTATTTGCTCTAAGTAGGTTTGATTGAGAAAGATTTATAGCTAATTACCTAACTTAGTCTTTATTCTAATAGCATTTATGTTGACTAAGCTCCCAAGTTGACCATCCAAGTGATGTTTTTAATCTACATAATTTAAGTGTCTCTTAATTATGGTTATTCTGTCTCAATCTTTTAGTATGTATCCTGAATTCTTGAGATTATATTGTCTCACGTGCTAAGATGTGCTAACGTTTCCCTGATTTGGAATATTTCTGTGGTAACCCCTCTATCATAGGTCTTTTGCCAAATGACCCTCGTTTGACATTCTCTATAATTTCCCGAATCAAAAGTAGTTAATGGTAACCTTGATTAGACTTCATCATCTACAAGGCTATCATATTCTGAAGTGATGGAGGCTGTTCGTCATCCTTGAATTATGTGACTGATGTGAGCAAGGTCTCTAATGCTTTTGATTGTTACCTAGCTTTGACTCTAGTCAGGATGAGCTATTTTGATATTTTCCATATCTTCTGTGTAAGTTTGTGCTGGATGAGAATTTAGGCCTTGGGAGAAAATATTCTATACGATAGCTTGCAGGAGCAGTTTTCCACACCCTGGTTTCCGTTTTTCTTACTAACATCTCCTGTCTTTATGGCTAAAGAAGGGAGAGGGTTGGGTTAAGTCGCTAGTATTTGTAAGGAGGAGATTTGTAGCCTGCATATCTACTTGCTGGCTCTCTTTCTATGCACATCTATTAAAATTTATAGTTATTCATGAAGGTTATTAGGGCTTGAGTTAAATACAATGCTCTGCTCTGGTTTCTGAAATGAGTGTTTGCTGTTAGGTGTTTTGGTTCCTATTGTTCTCTTTAACTTTAAGCATCAAATCTTGTAAAAATTCTTATTGATTGGTTTGAAGGTATCATCATCTTCTGTTTGACACAATTGATTGTATACTTCGTATATGGATGATCATTTTGGGGGTTTAGAGAGCTTATAGGGTGTCGATTTGAGTGGTAGTCATAGTAGTAGTTATCGAACGAACTGAAATTTTAATGACAGGTCTCGTGTGTAAGGGGAAGCAGGGAAATTCTGTATGCAAGCTAGGTTGAAGTATACAGTATGTTGCTTTCCCAGTACTGACACTTTCTTCTATGCTCCTGGAGTTTTTGTTATTCTTCAAAGTAGAGCGATACTGGCAACTTGGCAAGGGCTGCCCAAGTGCGCTAGTTGTATAATCTTTTAGACGTAAACATGAGCCTTTTTAGCAGATCTTTGCCCTGTTTGGTAGCATCATAATATCAAACATCTCTCAAAGATCATCGATTTTTAGTTGATTGGTCGATGACACCGAGTCACCGATTGTACCCTTCTCCTGGATTGATACCATTCTTTTGAAATTGTGTTTTTCAACTTCTGTTTCATATTTGTAGTAACCTTTCCGCTTCTGGAGATGTGCCATGGTTGCATTAATCCTTTTTTAGCTGCATCATTTATTCAATTTGATGATGAAACACTGCTTTTCTGGGTTTGCTATCCGTTCTCGTAGATTTTACGTCACGCACTGGCACCACTCACCTTCCTTCTCATTCCCCTTTCAATCATCCAAACTGTTGCATTTCCTTTTGCTTTTGGCTACACTATCAGAAGATTGAAACTGTTGCATTTCGTGTTTGACCTGTATTGAATGTCATACACACCTGGAACTCATAGTATACTAAAGCCTTGTTTGGTAGACATCATCGTTTTAGTGAGTTTGTGACGAGTAGTGTAACTCTGTCATATAAATTCACATGAACTTTTTTCTTGGCCGTAAAAAAAAAATAAAAAATAAAAAATAATGCATATACACCTAACACAATAGAACAAGAAAACTTAGTCAAGGAAAATCATTTTCAATAATTCAATCATCTAAGACATATTTTAGTAAATTAATATACTTTTAGCCATTAATATTTCAGATTATAATAGGAAGTGAATAATTTCGTCCACTCTTTTGGATTAATTTATTACGGAGTTATTCTTTACACTTAGAAGTATTATCCAAAGAGGTCAGCATTGAATGCAAATGTTTGCAAGTGCGAAAGGATTTGGACAGCTTTATACAGTTATGTCTTTCCACTTTTGCTTTACTACTAAGCTTGTACTTGGAATATTCTTGTTAACATTTCCAGTTTTGCTTTAGGCATGTTTTTTCTTCATCACACATCATTAAAACACTATATACTTGAATACAATAGATCAGCCTAACCTGTCCTATCTTTTAGTTATAGATGGGCACCAATAATTTACATTTACTATCAACATTTCCAAACACACAAGCTGACAAGCGACACGACTCACTATCAAATGCCCACATGATTTAATTCATTCACATACTAATGATTTTTAACTAATTTAAATGCTTTCCTTCAAAAAAAAAAAAAAATGCTTTTGAATTTATTCAATTTATTAGATTATATTTTAATACCTTTGTTTGAACTTATTTCATGAAAGTAGTCTTAGTGCACTCTCTATTTGTCAAATTTTCCTTTTGTGAACTTAACAAAATTTATTCAAAACATTGTTATTGTACTTAATACTCCGTAGCATGCAATGTATTTCTTAAAAGGATCGGACATGTTTAAATATGTATCAGCGTATGAGGTAATATTGGAAACAAAACAAAATATGTTACTATTGCTTGGATATATGTGGTGCTCCACTCTATAATTTCCTGTCAAAGTCTCCCACGATCAAGCTTTGAATTTAATTTCTACTCGTATTACTTATCTTGGAAGTTTATTTCTTTCATAGTATTCATACCAGTGTGCAAGGACATAAAAACATGAAAGAGTGTAGAATGGGTGGTTGATTTAAATTTTAGCGCCAAAATTCGCTGAATTTATGGTTGTGATTGTTCTGTACTCCGTTGTAGTAAGCCATTCTAATAAGCTACGACGATCACAGTATTTGTGAAAATCGAAATATTCCTTATGGCTGTGGTTGTTTTGTTATACTCGTAATATAGATACGGATCGGAGTACAATGTTTTTAAATCATTGATTTCGTTTTAGGAAATATGTATGGCTTCTCTACTGAAAAGTACTAATACTTTTCTCATGCAAATAAGGTGACTCTGACTCGTCTATAGTGACCTTAAAGTGGATTTATAACAAAGGCGTCTTTTTCGGATAGTTTTGCTCAAGTACTCAACCCGGCCTAGATGTTTCATACTATTCTACTCTTATGTAATCGATTTTTTCTAGTAATTTCATGTCACCATTATAACCCCGTACAAAATTTACTCTTTCCCACTCACTCTTTGTATAATCCATTTTAAAACATTTAAGGATTAAAGAAGTATATTTATCATATACTTCGTAGTAAGTAGTAACAAACCACAAGGACAAGGCCGCGCAAGCATGGATCAACTGTCCTACAAATTGAATTTGATGCGACCCTAAGCACAAGTAGATGTCGTATGTACATTATACGTGATTAGGGGATTTTTATCCACCAAGCGCCGTTTGACAAGTGGACCAACCAGGTTCCGCCACGCGTCCTCCACGGACCACTTAAGACACGCCACGTGTCCACCCATGCCAAATGGGACAACCGGCCATCAAGGCCCATTTCAGTCTAGA